TGAGGGAAGTGACATCTGGGAGACAGGTGGACACGTGTCTGGTGCATGCTAAGTCTAAGTCTTTGAGGCAATTTAACAAGTATATGTTCAAGAAACACCTGAAACATCCCATCCTCCATGAGCATGTCTACACTCTCAGAGGTGGCCAGGCTACAAACAGACCATCTCACCAAGCCAGAGTCAGTGAAGTGCAAGAAAAATCTTCTCCATGTGGCAGGAAATACACAAGAGAATGACATACAAACAAAAAAAGAAGAAATGCAAAAGTAAGTAAAGTACAACATTTAAATCCTGTTCAAGACTGACCGAACAAGCAGAACGACACTGTACCAATGAGCAAGGGTTCAATAAGGAACAGACCGACTGGAAAGATGAGGCACAAAGAGTCACAGGAGAGGGAAAACAGAACAAAAATTGTCATTCTATCAATAAATCCACACTGCCCAGACACTGGAATTCTAGATTTGTTACATTAGTCCTCTGCTGTCACCGAACACATGGTATGACAGAAAACTCAGTGTTTCCAAAGAAAATGCAAGTTCAAAATACCCGTCAGTCACTCTGAAGTGTTACTTCAAGTGGCAGGCATCTGTATGGATAAAGGATCTCATCTGGGATGAAGATAACCCAAGAGAACATAATGCTTGTATTTTCCATTTTCTGAATGGGAAAAAGCCCTTGTGAATTCCACCCTGAGGGACTACACATTACAGTTGAAAAGACCAGACTTGAAATGCTTGTAACCATTAAGATTAGTAAATTATCATGAAACTGCACAATGAACAGCTATTCCATAACTTCTCTTACCTTCACTGTCTACTGAAACACGCTACTTTTCTGCTGCATATAATTTAAGTTTATTCTGAAAATCAAAGGTATTAGTTTCTTCATCCACATTTCAATAGTGTTTATCATTACAGTATTTTGGGGCTTTGGAAACATTTCTGAATATTACAATATCCTGTACAGAAAAGCAAAAGTGGAATCTTAATTGTGATAAGAGGAAACGAATTACAGAAAGATAAATATGTTTGCAACTTTTTATTTCAAGATCATGTCACTGTTTTTTCAGAATATCCAATATATGCATTTATATAGATCATTACATGTTTAAAAAGAGCTCCTGCTGACCTCAATTGCAATAATTGTACATAATATTTATGCAAGTCAGGCTCCATGCTCAATACCAAAAATTCAAACATTTAGAGTAGCTGTCTCTAAAACTTGAGTTTAGGAGACTCATAGCAGAAGTAGGGACAGAAACCATTTCTTCAAGGCAGCATTCACCTATGCTCTTGTTAGCTACACCGAGATAGAGACCCAGTCCTTAAATTCACACATCATTCTCGTTCAGGGACTACATTACATTTCTCTGCATCATTTCAGTTTCAGTATACGAGCTGCTAAAACTGACCAACCTCACTGATGGGAGAGAAGAGTGGTAAATCCTTGCTTTGGAATCCTGCTGGGAACTACTTTACAACTACACACTGATTTCTGACATCATTGTATCTCCAGCTGCTCTCATTAAATAAAAAAGAAAAAAATTTCAAAGTATGCTCTAGTTAACTTAAAAGAAAACTTCAAGTAACTGATTTGTATAGTGAAACATGATTTTGTGTTGAGTATATTACAGTACCATCATTTCAAGTCACATATTTGCATGTTCTGAATCTAAAGGGACAGGATTTTTTGGCTAATCCCACATTAAGATTACACATTACATTCTTACTTAAGGAAGAATTTTTTCAAAATGTTTATAAAAAACAGAAAAATACAGTACTTCAACACATGGCATTACTACTTTCAATTACATAGAAACAGAGAAGCCATTAAAAGATTACTTCACTCAATATTAACATAATGAAAAGCCTACTGGCCTGAAAACTATTTACATTACGTAAATTTACAGGAATATAACAGTTCTAAGATCAGTTTCCCTAAAGAGATGCCAGAATGATAAAATCTCTAATGTCGAAAAGGCAGTAGCTACCTGTTGTTGTGACCTAAATCCAAAAGAAAATAAATTAATTATGCTGTGAGTAAAGGCCGTATCTTCTATGGATTTCTTTTTGGTGGAGAGGGAGGTTAGGTGATTAGAAATACCTTCTGTAAGAAAAAAATTTACCAAAGCATCAGGACTCTGAATGCAAAAATTCAAAAATGCCAATTCCTTCCTAAAAGCACTCAATACCAACTTCTCTAATCCTTATTGCATCTCATATTCCCAGAAATTTGATAGAACAGTGAATACGTGTAAAAGGTTAAATGTTCAGGGCTCAGTCCTCCTAGACTTGCATGGTATCATCTACTCACACATACCATTTTACATCGTAAAGCTCATATATATAGATACAACATATTCAACAGGGAGTAAACAACTTCCGAATTCTTTAAATTCGGTATTTGAACCATCCTTTAACATTTAACTTCCAAATTTGTTTTGTTTTAATACCGATAGATGCATTTCTGTATCAAATAATTGGTTTCACATTGCAGAGCTGTGTAATTACCATACTTACAGGATTTTTCTGAGTGCATGAGTGGAATTCATGGTTATTTTCAATGCAGAAAGACTGCTTCTTCCTTTTGTTACATTTAGTTCCCTTTATAAGCAAACTACTCAACAAAATTCTGAATTCAAACAAATACTAAATATTGATTTGCAACAGGCTGCATATGGACAGACCCCTACGGTCATTGAAACAAGAAGAAGAGCAACAGCCCTGAGCGTACTAGAGAAATACACATTATGTTTTGAAGGCTGAATCTACGGTGGAAAAAAAACCCAAACCTGTTTTCTATTAGGAACAATCCAAAATTTGTCTAGTAAGGCTGCTATTGTGCGTACACACATATTCTTCTTATATACAGATAATATATATATATCTTTGAAATGATAAGTTTTTATATATGTGGATGTTGAAAAGAAGTCCCTTTATCTCAGCACTTCTTCCATCCACATCTAAATGGACTGGGTACAACCAAATTTAAGGCTATGTTATACCAGCTTCATTTTAAATCAGCACAGATGTTCTGTTTCAAATATCCTGCAACTATTCATTTAACTTGTGTTATACATAAGAAGTATTAATTTTTTCTACCAACTTAAGAGATCACATGTTTATTAACTTTCTACACACCGTCGTCTCTAAACCCTCACAACTCCTTTTGCATTGAAAATCTTTGAATAAAGTGTAAAATGTCAAACTCTGTTGCTGTTTCTGTGTTTTCACTAATGTTTTTAAATTAAACAGAACATTAATTTCTACCACAAGCACATGTTCTGAGATGTTAAAACAAAGTTATAGGAGATATATGAATACAAAACAGTAATTAGAGAAACATTTTATAAATAGAACTTGGGTATTTCTCATATGCTTGTTTCAATTCAGTGTCACTTTTTTAAAGGAAAACCCATCCAACTTCCTCAAAATGAAATTTAGATTGAAAAACTCTTAAGTTTACACGCTGACACCCTCCCCCACCCGTAAGTACATAAGATAACCTAAAAGTCAAAGAGGTTATCAATTACAAATGAATCCTCTGCATTTAGAGTTGCGTCAGGAAGCTGTATTCATTATTTCTAATTAATTATTGTCTTTTAATCAAATAATATACTGCTCTGAATCATGTGTCCATCTCCCACGCCCCATTTCCAATTCTTCCTTTCCTTTAAATCCTGCCTACACTACTGTTCCAGAATAAGATGATTTTCTCTGTGAACTAAATACCACTTGCTGCATGGCAAATTGTCTTCCCAAAACAGCAGTGACTAACTCAAAAGAAAGGATCAAAAAATCCCCAAAACAAGATTAAGAAAGTAAATGAAACAAGACTTCCAAAATCTTTGCATGAAATTGGTAAGACAACATCAGTTTTACTCTCTTAAGTCATTGCAGCCTGCTTCTACCAGACCAACCATGGGGAGTATGTCTAAGCTTGGGGGGAGGGCAGGGAAAAGAGGAGCATTAGCGCATATCTTCAAACTTGCACTGATAAATGACTATTAAGCATTTTTAAGTTCAGTAATAAGAAGGAGATTGCCAATGTTAAAAAATGAGTCTTTAAATGGAGATGAGGAATACTTTTGCAATATATATTCACATGAAAACACAGATCAGCGTCCCCAGTACAGAAATAACAAAGTGAAGCTTTTTGACAAGATGTCATAATGCTTCCCTTACAGCTTACACATCCTGCATCTCTTATTTCCCTGAGCATATGCCACAGAACATCCAATGTGCAGTTTATCCACAAACATGGTCCTGCCCCTTCTTTCCCTTCCCTCCAATATACTTTCATTTTTTCATTTTATTTTGGCATCTTGTTTACTTTCAGTTTCTGTGGATGCTCACTGCAGACACAGGAATCAGCACACAGAAAAGACTGCAGAACAAAAACACTCTGAGGCAAGGACTTCCTTCTAGTATAAAATGCACACACCTTTCTGCATAGCTATCTGAATGGACACCTTAAGTTGGTCTAAAAAACGGGCACCTTAAGTTAGTCCTGTAAAAAACAATGAAAACCTGAACAAATTATCTTTCTGCATAAGGTTTTCACTCACCAAGTGGAATTAACCTTGAGAAATAGACAAGTTCTTAAGTCTGCAACAAACTATTATCCAGACTGATTCAAAGCATCATGGCTTTAGAACATTCTTATTTCAATACCAAATGCAGTGATGAAGAAATAAAGAGCAATAAATGTAGCTAAGGCAGTCAGCACAGAAGCTACTCAAATCTTTCTGACAAAACCATTCAGTTTTCTGTTGAGAAAACATTAATTGCAACTTAAGTACTGTATGAATATTTTGTTGAATAAGCTGTTTTATATCCACAGAATAAGAACTTCCAGTTATCCAATCGAGTCACTGACCTTCAAGTGGCTCCAAGTCCCAACAGTTCACTCATACCATTCTGTTTCCCATATAAATGAGCAACCATAAAACAAAAATTAGGTAATTCTGAACAGAAGAGTTGAGGAAGCATATTTACCTGACGCATCTCCAACTTTAAAATCACTGTCATCAGAGCTATCATAATCTAAAGCTTCCAGCAGTGAAGCTGCCAAAGGCTTCACTTGTCTCCTCTTCGAACTGCGGTCCACTGAAGGAAAAAAAAACCCCACAGTATTTTTACTAGGTGGCATGATGAGAACTCAGCATCGTTAAAGATACTTAAATTAAAAGGAAAGGCAGAACGGCCGTGGCAGGCAGGGGCAGTCTCTGCCACACCGCCCGAAGAGCAGCCGGCAGACGCAGACAGCACCGGGGTCCCGGACACATTCATTCCCACAAGTGAGGGAGGGATCAGCGGCACGCACACGGGGAAGTGTTCACCCACAAGTAAGCGGCCAGGAGCAGCCTGCCCGGCGGAGCAGTGGTGCTCCCTCCAGGCGCCGGGATACAGCACGGCACCGTACTGGCCAGAGGGGGGGCGGCTGTGCGGACACTGGGGTCGCCTGAGGCCCCCGGAGCCATCAGCACCTCCAGATGTAACGCTCTGGCGTGAGCCATCACTGCCAGCGACGAGAGGCATAGGAAAAGGGCCGCCGGAGCCGTGGGGCGCTGACGGACCGCGATGCGCCCTCCCGCCCGCAGAAAGGGTTGGAGGCACTCCGCGGGCATCCCGC